CCCCTCTGAGTGGTTGACAGTGGTAGCCAGGCACCATCTAGTTCTTCTGGTCTCATAGTCATATAGGCTGAGGATCACATGGAGTACTAGTCCCTTGGACTAATTGTTTTCCATGCATCTTTGGTTTTCTTCATTCTTCTTTGCTCTGGACAAGGAGAAACCCATTGTTGCATCTAGATGGCTGCTTGCAAGCTTTTAAGACCCTAATTGCTGCTTGCCAAAGTAGGATGTAGAACAATGCTTCTGTGTAGTACATTATGCCAATTGAGCTTGATGTCCCCTATGACCATGGTCCCAAGCCCACAGGTCCAACTACTCACTGTGGCCAAGAAATGACTACAACTTTGTCCCTTGTCAGGTCTACCATATACCTGGGAATTCTTACAGAACATACCAATATGCTTATAGAAACATTGTCTGCCAACCTTATACATGGTCATGGGCACACTCCCCCTTGCATAGACATATCTAATCGTTCAGCCTGTCCACCCATCTATCCACCCATAGATCTATGTTGTCATCACTGACAACATAGTACTGTATGTGCAAAAGTGTTCATCTTTGTTGTCTGTACCTTACAGGGATATTTTTATGAAAAATAATTTCTGCTTAAACACAAAAAGTTTATAGACAGTCATTTTGGCGTCACTCCCTCTGACAGTGTCACCAGGTACAGTCCACAACCCCCAACACAAACCTCCCTAGTAATGTCATTGTTCTGAGCCACCCTGTATCACCACACAAGAGCTAGTACTATTGTTCCCATTTTACTGAGGGAAAACAGAGAAGTTAAGTTCTTCCAAGGCCACACAGCTGGTGAGCAGGAGACCAGGATTGGAATCAAAAGCGGAATTTAGGTGTGAGGGCTGAGGAGTAGGGGCTGTAGCTGGGGGTGAGGGAGGTGGCACACGTTTTTTCCTCTGTGACAGTGTGAGTCTGGGATCCCGGGCTGGATCTGAAGGGCCTCCCTGCCTGTTTTATTGTTCCCAACACTGACAAGGCTGCTCCTCATCCTCCTGGCCGCCCTCTTCTGGAAAGAGATGGCTCTGACTCAGCCCCATTCGTGATCAGTTCTCAAAGTGATCCGGGAATGAGGTCCAAGAAAGGAAGGAAGTATCCCTCAGACTAGGCGCCCCCTTGCCTAAGGTCCTGGCTCTGGGCCGGAAGGAGCCACTTTAAGGATTCCCTGGGGACCCATGACCAGGAAGAGAGATGATCCGGTTCAAAGCAAGTGTAGCAGAGAGGCGGGGCCAGGCACATGTAGCCCCACCTCCACATCTTCTCTTGAACCCTCTGACTCTTTCAGGACCCCTCACCCAGAAAGCCTTTCCTGTTTGACCTCTCCTCAGCTCTGCCTGTGTGCTGGAAGCTCTGGACTCACCTCTCTGGGCTCAGTGTCTGTCGGGACAGGCAGCTGTCTACTCCCCTCAGATTGGGAGCTCCTGAAAACCAGCTCTGCCACACACACACACACACAGAGAGAGAGAGAGAGACAGGCAGACAGACAGGCACACACACACACACACACACACACACACACACACACACACGATTCCTAATAGAGAGCTGCTCCTAGGGCATTCTGATTGGGGGCTCCCTAGTGTACAGCAGTCAGGAGTCCCCCTCCTCAGATCAGGAGCTGCTCCAGGGAAGCACCTGCATTGCACTCATTCCCTGAATCCCCTCTTTTCTCAGCCAGCATCTGTCCTCTAGTTCCCTGAATCCCCCTTTTCTTAGCCAGCATCTGTCCTCTAGCCGGAAGTTGGGCCCCCCTTCCACCAAACCCAAATGCTCCTTTAACACCAAAGGGATGGGGGTTGCATCAGGAGTCAGACACAACAGCCCCATCCTCCCCCTTCCCAGGCCAGGTTTCCTGCCATTGACAGCATCCCAGCTGGGCCCAGCCCAGCCTGCCAGTGCTTAACCCCTTCAAGACCAGATCTCTGGGCCACCAGCCTGCACCCCCAACCTTTACCTATAAAATTAGGAGAATAAAAATACCCACTTCATTAGATTGTTACGAAGATCAATACATTAATCAATGTGTAAAGTACTTAGAAGAACATCTAACAATCTCTCAATAAAAGTTAGCTATTATTCTTAATTGTGTAAGCTTGGATAAGTCCTTTCATGTCTCTGAACTTTGGGCTCTTGAGCTGTGAAATGGAAACAATAATAGAATCTACTCCCCAAAGAGTCCCCTAGGGATTAATTGTGATGATATGCAAGATGTTGAGAAGTTCTGTGACAACACAATATGGAATTATCACAGACAAATAAAGCAAAACGAAAAGCTCCCTTTAACTAAGTAATAACAATCTCTCACCAGGGAATGGGCCTTCTGGTTTTCAGGCTCATTACCTTATCTGACAGGCAGAGGGTACAGTGGAAAATGTGGACTTAGAGCTGGGCATTTGGCAAGTCCCTCTGCCCCTCTGATCCGGTTTCCTTACCCACAAAGTGGGGCTGGTTTGTCCCTTTTGTGGCCCCATCTCTGTCTCTGGTGCTAGGGAGGGTCAAAGGAGGTCACAGATGGGAAAGTGCTTTGCAAACTTTGAAAAGTGCTCAAAGGGAGGGGAAGGGACTTTTAGAAGGGGCCAGCTGAAGAGCAGGCAGAAACCTCTGTGGTAGAAGCATTGACCTTGGAGTTCTGAGTGCTGGGGAGTTTACTTGCTGGGAAGGGGGATGCGCTTCCAAGGCACCAGCATTGTGGGGACAGCGCTTCACCTTGAGAGATGAGGTGTCAGATAAGCAACTGTGTCAGCTCAAGATGTCCCCAAGGGGGGTGGGCAGAGGAGGAAGGGGTTGGCCCCAGAGTCATCTCCTCGTCCCTCTCTTCCCAACCAATCCCATTTGGCATCAGAGACTTTGGACAGACGCACCTCCAGTGGGCTCCTGGATGACCTTTGTGCCGTGACCTGCCAGGACAGATTCACCCTGCACATTTGCAGCACCAGTGCCTGCAGGCTGCAGATTCCTGGCTTTGCCTACGGGAGAGCAGGCTTGATACCATCCATACAGCTGACTAGGACAAGTCTGAACCTGCTACTTGTGGGGAAGAAAAGCACAAAAACTAGAACTAGCTCTGCCTTCCCATTCAGATTGTGGAAGTATCTACCAAGGGCAGGCCAGCAAAACAGGCTGACCAGGGTCTCTGGAGGAAATCTGGGAGTCAGCAGACTTTGTTTGGGGTCCTGGCTGTGCCACAAGATCACTGCGACTCCACGGTTAATCACTTCACTTGTCAGAGCCTGTTTGACCATCTCTGTACAATAAAGGAGCAGGACGGGGTCCCCAGGTCCTTCCTAGCGCTGAGAAACTCTGATCAGGAAGGAGTTAATGGAGGCCAGGCTCTGGGTCAGGAAGGCGAGGGTTAATCTGGGGAGGTGGAGGCTATCTCGGCTTTTCCTGTGGAGAGTGAGGTTTGGCTGCCACCAAAGTTACTTCCAGTCCCTGCCATCCCTCCTGCCCTCAGTTCGGACCTGCCTGGGGACTCCTGCAATTCCGCTGCCCCACGGAGAGGTGAGTTCATGCTGAACCTAGGGCTGGGGAAGGGCAGGACCTGCAGGCCCAAGGGCAGGCTGGCTGGAACCAAGTCAGTGAGCACAGAAAACATCCCACCTCCGGAACTAAAGTCTTGGGCAGCATTCCGACCACAAACCCCAGGACTGGAAGAAGGTGGGAAAAGGCACGGAGGATAAAAAACGGGCTCTGCGAGTTCTAGGGTGGTATGCCGGTGGCTGGGCATTGAGACCAGCCCAGAAAACAAGGAAGAAGCTGTGGACTGGAGACTATTTTGGTCCCTGTGTTTAGAGGCTTTTTATAGCCTTGCTCTTCAGGGCTGGGGAGAGGAGGAGGGGACCAAGAATGGTCTGAGGTCAGACAGGCACAGTGCCCTCCTGGGACCTTGGAATCTGACCCGTTGCCCCATATAGTGATGGGGAAACAGAAAGGGGGGCACTGCCAGGCTTTCCTTGCTCCCTGGGCTCCCAGTCACTAACTACCTAGGAAGCTACCTAGTTGGAAAGGAGGAAGCCCTGGGTGACATGTATGGTTAGACACTGGCTACTGCTGAAAGGCTGGCAGTTCCCACCCACCCAGCGGTTCCTGGGAAGACAGGCCAGGCGATCAGCTTCTGAAAGGTCACAGCCTTGAAAACCCTATGGAGCAGTTCTACTGTGTGCATGGGGTCACCACGAGTTGGAATTGACTTCATAGGAACTAACAACAGAAAAGGGATTGTTGTTGTTATGTGCCGTCGAGTCAAACCTGACTCACAGTGACCCCTCCTTGGGTTTCCGAGGCAGTAGGATCGCCCAACCTTCCTTCCGAGGAGTGGCTGGTGGGTTTGAACCGCCAGCCGTCTGGTTAGCAGGCAAGTGTCTTAGCCACTATGCTACCAGAGCTCCTAGAAAAGGGATTGGGGAACCTAAACTGGTTGGGCTGGAGTAGGTGGGGTTGGCAGGGTTTCTGCCCCCAGGCCTCCCACCTGGGCTCCCTTCCCCCCATCTCTAGTTAGTACTGTTCCTTCGTTGCCTCTAGATCCAAGGTCCCCACAGCCCCCAGGACTGATATGTCCCCTCTCAGCTGGACCCTGGGGCGGAGGTCCTGAGCCATGTGGGTGGCCCATTCTGTTCCAGCCTACCAACCTGTCAGCGCTTGATTTACAACCCGTCATGGCCCCTTCCCCAACAGAAAGGAGGTGGGGGAGGATCACAGGGTCACAGGATCTCAGAATGAGGAGGGGGCAGGGACCCTGAGGGAGATTTCTACTAGTGCAGATTACTGGGAAGAAACAGTGGGTGAAAGTTTTTTAATGAGGCAGGGGGCCCATTTCTAACGGACATTACTTGGTAATTGTACCAGTAGGAATAGAAGGGAAGTGCTGCAAGACAAGAGAGACAGAATCTGAACTGGTTCAGGACTACAAGGCAAGAGACCTGACTAAGAGTCAGCAAGTAAGCCCCTTCCTCTGTGGGCTAGTTTTCCTCTTCTAGGAAATGGAAATGCAGAGGTTAGACAAGGTGGTGTTTACAGCTGAGCCTTCTAGAATTCCCTTGGCAAAAACACAAAGTGGGTGGCGGGCCAATGGCTGACATGACCTGGTGACCACCACCCTCTCCTTCCAAAGAGGCCGGACAGGGCAGAGCGGAGCAGTTGGCTGCAATTACTGGAGGCTCCTACCCAGTGGTTATATCCCTGACCTCGGTGCTTGGGGGCGGGAAGGGTGGGCCCTGCCGGAGCCAGCCTGTGGCTACCGAGCCTCCTTGTCTTGGACTCAAAGCTGCTGGGCTGGGAAGAGGTATTTTTTCCGGTTGAGGCCACTTTCGGGAATTGGGCCGGGACCAGTCCCACTTCCTTTTCCAAGTGCCCCAGTCGACGATGCCTGCTTGGCATGGCTCTGTGGCCATATTGGAGCACCCTCAAAGGGGCATATGTCTCTGAGTGGCCTAGGAGGCCCCACTGAATAGCTCTGAATAAGGGGGATAGGAGGTATGGCCAGAATCTCTGCCTCTTAGGCATGGCATCCGACCTACTTGGATGAGGGAGGGAGCTGGCCGATCCTATCCCCAGAAAGACCTGCCAGAGAGGTGCAGGGATAGCTGCCACTCTCTCCCAACCATTCGTCTCTCCCTGCAGGCTCCAGGGAGCCCCGGCGAATTGTTCTCAGCTCCTCAGCCAGCTGCCTACCGCCAGCGGCTTATGGGCCACTGTCTAGCCCAGCTCTGCTAAGATGCTCCTGGCCCCTCCCTCCACCTCTTCCAGAGGACGGACCCCCAGCGCCGTGGAGAGGCTGGAGGCCGACAAAGCCAAGTACGTTAAGACGCATCAAGTGATAGCACGGCGCCAGGAGCCAGCCCTGCGCGGGGCACCCGGGCCGCTCACCCCACACCCCTGCAATGAGCTGGGGCCCCCTGCATCGCCCAGGACGCCCAGACCTGCCCGCCGGGGCAGCGGCAGGAGGCTGCCACGACCTGACTCCCTCATCTTCTACCGCCAGAAGCGAGACTGCAAGGCCTCGGTGAACAAAGAGAACGCCAAGGGCCAGGGACTGGTGAGACGTCTCTTTCTGGGAAGCCCCCGAGACGCCACCTCGAGCAGCCCGGGCCCAGCGGAGCGATCCGCGCCTGCAGATGCCCCGGAAGTGACCGGAAAGCGGGCGCTGTGCCCCACTTGCTCGCTGCCGCTGTCCGAGAAGGAGCGCTTCTTCAACTACTGCGGCCTTGAGAGTGCGCTGGTGGAGGTGCTGGGCGCTGAACGCTTCTCCCCGCAGAGCTGGGGCGCCGACGCCAGCCCTCAGCCCGAAACATCGCCGCCGCCCGGCTGCGGGGACACCAGCGACTGGACTTCGAGCGATAGTGGTGCAGACGGCCCAGACTGTACGGGCGGCGGCGGCGCAGAGGCAGCAGGCTCGGCGCCGGATGGGCGCCCCTCGGTGTCGGTGGTGGAGCGCAACGCGCGCGTCATCCAGTGGCTGTACGGCTGCCAGCGCGCCCGAGGCCCGCCGCGCGAGTCAGAAGTGTGACCGTGGCCGCACGTGAGCGGGCTTCCGCAGGGCTGGGGCTGGACCAGGGCACAGGCAGGGACGCCCTGTCTCTGATGCACAGACCTTTGAGCAAGCTCTCTGGGTCTTGATTTTCCCATCAGAACCAAAGGGAGTTAGGACAAAATGATCCCTAAGGCCTTGCCCGGGGCAGGCGGCACAGTGGGAGGGAGCAGCGGCGTGGCTTCTGTGGGGCTGGGGCTGGGGATTAATGTCTAGGGTGGAAGATCAGAGAACCTGCCCAATAAAGTTAAAACCTTGTTTTAAACGGATCTTGTGGTTGGATTAGGGCGCAGATGGTAAGAAAGGGGGCGGGGCGGATGGCCTTTTGTGGTTGAATAGGTGGGCTTTGGAGTGTGGGCTCCGGGCTGTATCCCTAAACCAAAGAAAAAACTCACTGCCATGGAGTCCATTCCCACTCATAGCGACCCCTATTGGGTTTCCGAGGCGTAAATCTTTACGGAAGTAAATTGCCCAGTCTTCCTTCCACTGAGTGGCTGGGGGGTTTGAACCGTCAGCCTTCTGATTAGCAGTCAAATGCCCTATCCACTATGCCACTAGAGCTGGGAACAGAACTTTTGGGGAACCCTAGACAAGAGTGTGCTCAGAAATCTGGGATCCCCGCAGAGCCTTGGAGCCCACCAACCCCTAAAATTCTCCCATTTGCGGAACTTTGCTGCCCCCTGTGGTTACCAAGTATGAAGGGCTGAGATGTGGCGGATCTGGAGTTGGGGACAATGAAAGAGACCTTTTAAACCAAGATCTTGCCAACCGGCAGCCTCACGCAGCCATTACTTCCCTTTCCCACAAGCACACGTAACGTCACCTATTTTCCTGACACGTTCTCATCTCTAGGCCTTTGTTCACGCTCCTTCTCCCTTTGTCTGGGCTACCTTTCCTCTCAATTTATCCTTTTAAAATTAAATATAGTCACCTTCAGGAAATCTTCCTGAATTTCCCAGGTCGCTTTACCTCCTCTGAGCTTCCAACTATACCACGTTTTTTGTGCCTCAGCGTAAGCTCTTGTTACGTTGCGTGGGACCTGTTGATATGTCTGAGTTCTGTTAGTCTCTGCCTTTTCCTCGATACAGAGATTGTACACATAGTAGGGCCACAGGTAATGTTTGTTGAAGTAAAAGAAGCTGGAGAGGGTGATGGAGCCTGTCCTCTAGGGCTCCCCATCTTCCTGAAAAGTTGTTCCCTAAATCTAACACTATCTATCCTGATACCTTAGTTATCCCGGCTGTATGGTGATTCATTTTCTCCCTACATCAGTTAGTTTTGTCAGAAGGGACCAGTCCCTGGAGAAGGATATTATGCTAGGTAGACAGTGACAAGGGGGAAGACACTGAAGGAGATGGATTGACACAGTGGCTGCGACGAGCGCTAAAGCATGGCAACGATTCTGCGGATGGAGCCGGACCAGTGATTCCTTCTGTTGTAGTACAGGGTAGCTATGAGTGGAAACCGACAGCACCTACAACAAGAGTTGTTAAGCGTTCAGCTGCTAACTGGAAAGTCAGCAGCTGGAACTCACCAGCTACTCCACGGGAGAAAGATGTGGCAGTCCGCCTCTGTACAGATCACAGCCTTGGAATTCCTATGGGGCAGTTCTACTCTGTCTTACAGGGTCGCTAGGAGTCATAATTGATGGATGGCAATGAGTCATGGGATGCTTGCGGGATGGAGGTAAAGACCTCTCCGGCTAGACCCCGCCCGGGGACCCCCACGCACCCACCCAAAAGCAGCCTTCCCAGATGTCCGGGTTAAAGTAGGCAGCCACACCGGGTGTTCGGCCAGGGGCATTTATGAGGGTTGGGGAGGAGAGGGCGCCCAATTCCGCCGGCCGGCTAGTCTCCCTTGGGCGCAGCTTTCGCTCTCATCTCGGCCAGTTTGTGGCTGAGGAAGCCCCACTTGAAGCCGGCCTCAGGGTCAGGCTCCCGCGGCTCGGGGCGCTCGGCCGCCTCCTCCACTGCCTTATCCCCGGGTTCGGGATCCAGCTCCGGGGTGGGCTCTGCGCTGCGCAGCATGGACGCTGCCGCCGCTTGCTGCTGCTGCCACCTGCTGGCGAACGCGTCCCAGAAGCCTGGTCCGCGCGGTTCCGCCGCCGCCGCCGCCTGCGAGGGGGGCCGCGCCGCCAGGGGGCTGCAGGAGAGGCGGATCCAGGCCCCGAGAGGGAAACAATAAGCAGAGGAGCGATCAAGGGACACGTAGTGGGGCTGACGGAGAAAGGGCTAGGTCTGGGACTGAAGAGCTGGGTCAGGTGACTGCAGGGGCCGGGGAGAAAAAGGACGAGGTCTGGGCCTGGAGGCGAGGGGCAGGCTCAGAACACTGAGAAGGGATCCGGGTGGGACAGGGTTAGGGATTAGGCGAGAGGTTTGAGAGGCTCAGAATCAGGATCCCGGAGGAGAGAGCTGGGATAGGGATTTGGTGTAGGCACCAGGAAGTGAGCAAAAAGCCCCAGGTCAGGGAAGCCCCGTAAAGAGCCCTCCGAGAGGGGCGAGGCCCAAGGAGTTGTGGGAGAGACGTAGGGCCGTAAAGCGCCCTGGAAGGGGTGGAATCAGACTCCAGAGGTGGGACTCTGGGAAAGCAGGGGTGGAGCCCTGGGGGAAGAGGCGGGACGGGGGAGGGGTCAGGTTCGAAGGTTGAGGAAAAGCATGGATAGGATAGGCACGGAATGATGGAGGAGAAAGACGGGTGGAGCGACCCTGGGAGCAGGAGAAAGGCTTAGATTAGAGGCTTAAAGGAGAGAGGGACTCGGGAGCTAGCAAGGAGATGTAAGTGGAAGGCTAGTCAAGGAGTGGCGCTGAGGCTTTGAGGTGGGAGCCTGCAGGTCTGAGTTCTTGGAGAACTGAGAGGGGAGGAGCTAACTGTAGGGGAGGAAGAAAGGAAACGCTGGGGAAAGAGAGATGGATGGATTAGAAAGGCAGAGATGGGATGTGTCAGAGCCTGAGCCCCTCGTCCGGATCCCTCTCCCCTCCCTAGCGTAAAGGACGTTCTAAAACTGGTTTCCAAACTAGTGTGCCTTAGGGACCTCAGTTAGTTACTGAAAATCTCTGGGCCTCAGCCCAGATTCTGAATCAGAATCTCTGGAGGAGGGCCCGGGAAGTTCCGTTTGTCACAGCTCCGGGGAGGATGAGGATTAGACCAATATTTGGGAACCATTGATCGGTACCATCCTCTGTTCCAAACACCTGAATTTCTCTCATCTGTTCCCAGATTCCCTCCCAAGTGGATGAGAAGAGAGAACCCATAAATACTTTCTAGAACCCTGTTCCAACTAGCTGGGAAGTTCTTCCTGAGATCTAACCTAATCTCCCAGATTTGCTGATTTGGCCTTTTTCCTGCTGAGAGAAAGAGAAACAGCCAGAGGTTGCCCCTCCCTAGCCCTCTGGGGTCAGAAAGATAGACCAGAGGGAAAGGACATGGGGGAAGGGGAGCTTAGGCTCCTCCCAGAAACACCCCCCCCACACACACACACACACACACACACACGTACTGGTCTGCACAGGGCTCCGGTGGCAGCAGCTTGTCCTCGTCTTCTTTGTTAAACAGAGATGACATCGTCAGCCAACCTTTCACCCCAACCCCCTGAACCTGGAGGGAAGGCTGGGAGTCAGGGAAAGGCCCCAGCACAACCTCCCAGGGGTCTACAGCAGCCTTTCTCAGGCTCCCCATGGGATAGGACCAGGTTGGGGTGGAAGAAGGGAGAACTCACCCTGCGGGCCAGCTGTGACATGGGATTGAAGGCCTCTTCAGCCGGTTCTGCTGTCTCAGACTCCACCAACACTGGGGTCTCCTTCTGGGACACAAGACCCCTACCCAGCATGAGAGGCCCCAAAGGAATGCCCCTCATAAGCCTGGCACACAGAACCAGGCACCCCAAACTCCATGGAACTAATACATACCTGTACACCTCACACCCTCTGCAAAAGTACATGGGAATATATACAAGTATCCCTCTACACCAAACTACTAGTCACACGCATGCACCTGTCTTGTCAGTCCCTGCAGGCACCCTTGAGCACACATATCCACACTCCTACCTACAAATGCACAGACACATCCACACACCCCCAAAAGACACGTGGACAAGGGCATGCACGCTTATGTAGACACACACTTGTACATGAGCATGCCTCTGCCTGGCTATAGCTCTTCACACTACATACATGTAGATGTATGTGGTGTGAGGTGCCTGTAATTAGCATGCACAATTATGTCATTCATACCTGTGTCCTTGCACACTTACATGACTGCAGACAGCTTCACAGAGGCCCACACACAGCCCACAAAACCTCTCCACCCACCCAGAACACCAGGACATAGATATTCACATGCGCCCAAATGCACACACTCCCCACATATTGCATCCAAAATGCCTGCACAGAGGTATTCAGGCATAGACTTCTGTCTAAAAATACATGTACCCAGTTCACACACACACACACACACACACACATATCCCTTTACTGGGGATTCCACACAGGCTAGATGCCAACCCCAGTACCAGCCAGAGACACTTCAGCCTCGAACACCAAACTGTCTAGACATATTCACACATCCTTACACACACAAAAAAAATAGTTCCTGCCCCTGCCACATTTATTTACACGACTACCACCCATCACAACCTCTAGACATAGGACAGTGCCCAGTTTCAGAGCCTTGGTCCATACTTGGCTTCTGGGTCTGATCAACTGCTACAGTGACCTTCGGAGTACAAGTGCCACTCCTTCTACCTCCAGTAATAAGGAGGACACTATCTGTTAAGCAAGCCATCCCACTTTTGCTAAGCTCTGCCCATTAGAAAGTTGTGTCAAGCTTATATGTACTTTGTGTGGCTACTATCCGCTGATCCTAAGAGAATGTCTCCCATGTAATGGCCCTTGAGATCTTTGGAGACCGCTCTTCCCAGGCTCCCCAAGTCTTCTCTTCCTCCTCAGTTGTCTTGAGTGTCCTGGCTTTCTAACACTGCACCATGCCATCCCCTGAATATGCCAATGGCTTCTGCACACTTGTACCTCTCTCTCTCTCTCTCACAACCTGTCCCTTGCTCCTCTTTGTACCTATCATTGCTGCTGCCCCTCTGCCTGTACCCCATGAAGCAAGTCTGGACACAACCCACCTCCTCTGCCAGGTCCTCCTCAGATTCCCCACTCAAAGTCTGTAGCACTTTGGACTTGTAGGTTTTCCAGAAGGCCTGGTTCATGGCTGCAGGGGTAACAGGCCTGGCACCCAGGCATGGGAAGGTGGTGGCTCAGTGGGCACCCAGTGGCTTTGGCTCCAGGAACTTAGGGAAACCAAGAGACTGTCCCAGGGATCAGGTGACTTCATTAAAGATGCACTAACCTCCCCTGCTGGCACAATGCCCAGCTGGTAAACCCAATCCAATGGAGTCTGGGGTGGGATGGATGAGGGTTTCTGTCACTTCAGTCCCTTCCTTGACCCACATTGGCCAAGAATAATGAAGACATCTCTCTCCCAAAGGCATTCTTCTGAGCTTAGGAGTATTTGAGGTTGACTTCTTGGAATCGCTCCAGAAAAATTCTTCTTTCTATTCGTAAAGTATTAGGGTCCAGAACCCACAATGGTGCCCTTTATGACTGCAGCCATGCCAGCTGTGCCCTCAGTAGGGCCATGCCCACTGTCCCCACTCAGGCTCCATGGAGGGGGAAGGTACCTAGGCCCCGAGCAGGTGCCCTGAGCATACATTTCATTTCTTTGTCTGAGCTGGAAACTGATTCCCTCTCCCCAGGGATGCACGTGCCTGTCTCCTTGTTTCCTGGCAACAGGTTCTAAAGAGCTGGAGCCCCTGAATTATTGCTGAGCTCCTCTGGCCCAGTCCCACCAAGCTGGCTCTGGCCAGCCTGGGCGGCACCAGGCTCTGGTGAATGGGGAAAGGCTTTTGGCCTTCTCTCCACTCTGGCACGTGACACCTAGACTGTGTCTCTGCCTTTGCAGCCAGCCCACTTCTGGGAGTCCAAGGCCTAGAGGGGAGGCAAATGTTAAGATGCGCTTATCTGAGCACGTCTTCTTATGAGAGGAGTTGGCCCTTCTTGACAGGATGCCTGAGTACTGTGAGAAGCATCCCCCTCTCATGCATTTGGCTGGGGTTGGATAGAGGATGAAGCGCCAGTAGGGAGGGTGGATACCAGAGGAGATAACTAGGGAGTCCTGAGAGGTGGTGAGGGCTTGGTCAGGGACTGGAGAGATCTGGTGTGTAGTGGTTAAAGCATTCAGCTGCTAACCAAAAGGTTGGTAGTTTGAATCCACTGGTCTCTTCCCACAGGAGAAAGATGGGACAGTCTGCTTCTGTAAAGATTTATAGCCTTGGAAACCAGATGAGGTAGTTAGTTCTACTCTGTCCTAAAGGGTCACTGTGAGCGGGAATTGATTTGATGAGAGTGAGTTTGTTTATTTTTGTTTCTTTGTTTGGAGGGATCTCAGGAGAACAACAGGAAGCTCTGTTAGGGCAAGAATCCAAACAGTCACTCATTAATTTATTAATTTATTCACCTCACAGATATTTATTAATGCCTCCCCATTGCCTACGGAGTCTAACGTTTGGAAACAGGAGATACGGGTAGAAGATAGCACTGAGCTAGGTTGGGCCAGGCAGGGGGGAGCAGAGAAGCTAGACCAGCCCATCAGCGCCAAAGCAGCATGCACCCTCTGCCCCTTCCCGGCGATGACCCTTAAGGTCTCAAACCCATGGGTGAAGACGCTCTGTCAGCCGGGCTCCGGTCTCCTGCGTCATTTACGTCCACAGCCGCCTGAGGGCGCTCAAGCTGCTGGCTGGGGACTGACGTCATCAGAAGCGGTCTCGCTAACCCTGTTCCACCCCCAGGTATCGCGTAACCTCATTGAGCGGTCCGGAAGGGCCCACACATGTGCCGCCGAACCTGCCCAGGCCATCTAGGCCTGAGTATCACTGGCTATGGGTCGTTCTCGCCGGACCGGTGCGCATCGAGCGCACTCCCTGGCCCGTCAAATGAAGGCCAAGCGGCGGCGGCCCGACCTGGATGAAATTCACCGCGAGCTGCGTCTCCAGGGTCCCGCTCGGCCCCTCTCCGACCCGGACACCGAGCCCGACCCAGACCTGCCCGGGGGTGGGCTGCATCGGTGTCTGGCCTGCGCGTAAGTCCCAGCCGGGCCTGGCCTGTAGAGGAAGAGGGTCCGCGGTGCGGGTCGGGGCTCTGGGATGCGTGCAGTCTCCTTTCTTGGGATCCGTGGATCTGCCCGCCTCCGATTTCCAAACAAACTGAAGTCAGAGATAGGCGTATTCGGAGGGCACTGTCTTCTCACTCTCCTCTCCCCACTCCCCCCATCTCTACAGGAGATACTTCGTCGATTCCGCCAACCTGAGGACCCACTTTCGATCCAAAGACCACAAGAAAAGGTATGGAGGAATAAGCTGAAGATTGATGGTTGGGTGCTGGGCAGGCAGGTTTGGCAATTGGTTAGCTCCCAACTCCTATCCTCCTTCCTCTCAGGCTGAAGCAGCTCAGCGTGGAGCCCTACAGTCAGGAAGAGGCAGAGAGGGCAGCGGGCATGGGCTCCTATGTACCCCCCCAGAGACTGCCAGTGCCCACGGAGGTGTCCACCGACATCCCAGAAATGGATACATCTACCTGACATGGCTTGAGGATACAGAACAGAGAAGCTGCCCACGGACAGTGATGCAAAAGCTAGGCTGAGAGAGACTGCTGACATCTTTTGGCCTGGGGTTTGGGGAGTGGGTGGCCTCTTCTGGGTGCCCATCTCCAATAAAGGAACTGGACAAACTCCTGCCCTGTGTTTCCCTACTCCTGTATTATATACAGGGTCCAAGGTGTCTGTGCCCCACTTTGTCCAGCTTTGGAACTACATACCTACAGTCCCTTTAGGGTCCTGCATCTGAACTGAAGCCCCCATACAGCCCAGGTGAAGTGGGGAGGTAAGGGTAGAATCAGGTTTATTCTGTCCTGTTTCCAGTGAGGGCAGAGACTGATCCCCTAGAAAAGAAGGGGGGAGGCTATAGTCCCTCCCCTGAGTCACCTACCTCTGGGCTAGGGTGAGAGGCTGCTCACTTCATCACGGAGCCTGTGGCGGCTGTTGCTGCCCCACCATCTTCCAGACAGCATAGCAAGAGCCGCCCAGCCCGAGAACAGCCAGCAGTGCAGCCACCACCCCAGCCAGTGGGCTGCGGGGTTCTGTCTTCAGCTCTCCAGTTACCTGCATCTGGGAGTGCACAGAGGGTATGCCTAGGGGGTGTGAGACTTCTGGGAAGGTGGAGGGAGGGAAAGAGCTAAGAAGGTGCAGCTGGATGAAGACAAATGGATGCCATCACTGCCTCAGGGAGATTCCGCCCCGATCCCTCTCGCTTCACTGCCCATCTGGGCCCCGGCTGCTCAGGCAGCGGGGAACGTGCCATCCTGGCTGTGGGGGGTGTCACCCTGCCGTGGGGAGAGAGAATGGAGTAAGTGGTGCTAGAAGCCAATGGTTGGGGGTACTTACCTGTAGCACTCGGAAGTAACCTGGAGTGAGGCGTCGAAATCGCATGATGAGGGACACTACTCTCCCTGGTGACCTGTGGGGTGAGGGTGGGCTTGAAAAGCAGCAGCGTTCATGGTGCCAAGGATTGGAAATCAGCGTATGGAGATTCCTGAGCTCCCCCTTGCATGGCACCCATGCCCTCAGAGGATGCTCACCAGTGCCTGCCCACCCAGGTCTAGCAGGGGGTGGGGCAGCTGGACCTTTAAATCCAATCCCTTCCCTCCACCCCCCTGCCTGCCCTGCCAGGCTCAGGAGCAGCTGTCAGGAGAGATCAGCATCAGGCCTGAGCAGCAGCACCTCCCCCAACCACTGGGGAGGCAAGGCCTTAGCAGCATTCAAAAGTCCCAGGTCTGGACCAGGTACTGAGGGGGCCTCCCCAAGCCCTGGCCTGGGCCCTTCTCCAACCTCAGATGATTGGATGCCACCAATCAACTCTCAGCAAAGGAGGGGGAGGGTGCTATGAACTCCAGACTGGATGCCTTTTCCACTCCATGGCTCTTGTTAGACTAATCACCCCTCTCCCTAAGATGGAGTTCCCAACAGGGACACTTGCATCTTTTCCCTACCCTCAGTTTAGGGACAGTAGGGACAATGGAGTTATGAAGGCTCAATGAAAAAAAATAGACCTTTGCCCCAGGAATTTCACTTCTAGGAGTCTATCCTACAAATATACGACTGACCAAAGACACACAAGTGTTTATTTGCAGCATTCTGTTCAGTAGTGAAAATCTGAAAATGGCCTTAGCGTCTAATAGTAGCTGAATGACTGACTAGCTTATGCCTCATTCATGTTAGGGATATTATGCAACCAAAAATGAGAAGATCTGTATGTACTGCTTAAGAGAGTGATCTGTGCTATTTAAGAAAATAGTAGCTGACTGAGCTGGGCATTGTCCTAAGCACTTTATTATTTCATTTGATATCGATTTCATCTCATAAAATAAAAAAAACATTTGCAGAACACTATGTAGAGTATCAGCACAGATATAAAATGGAAGGACACCCGGAAAACAGTGGGCCCCTCTAGGGAGCAAGATGGAAGCATGCTGGGTAAAGGGCATTCCTGCTTTCACTTAATACCATTCTGTTACATTTAACATGTTTACAGCAAATGTGGGAGCTCTGGTAGCATAGTGGCTAAGACACTTGCCTGCTAACCAGACGGCTGGCGGTTCAAACCCACCAGCCACTCCTCGGAAGGAAGGTTGGGCAATCCTACTTCCGTAGTGATACTGCCTTGGAAGCCCAAGGAGGGGTCGCTATGAGTCGGGTTTGACTTGACGGCACATAACAGCAAATGTGTGTAACTTCTACAAATTCATAAGACCCTTTAAAATGGAAGTTGCCATTTACTAAGTGCCTGGCACCACCAGGTGCTGGTGGCAGAGTGAAGGCACTATTGCGCTTGCTAGGCCCCCAACCATTTTGGGGGGATAGTCGGTATGAATAAGCAGTGGTGAATTCTTTTGTCTCCCCCTACAGGATCGTGAGTTCAGGGAGGGCAGGGGCTGACTGAGTTCTCATCTCGGTATCTGATGCCAGCCTGGTAGGTTTTGATGAAGTCAGGGTGGAGGAGATAGATCTAGGTCTACCAAACACTGTGGTAAAGGCTCTATTAGAATGTATTGGGCTTCCCCAAAATGCTGCAGGGAGGCTGTTGTACAAAGAGGGAAGAATGTTACAGGACACGGCTCAGAGGAGTGTTTGAGGGACACAGAGTACAAGGCGCAAAGATGTGAAGTGGAGGATGAAGCCATAAGTGAGGGGGTCTTGCAAACGTGGAGCCTGTTACCAGGGGTCAAGTTGGCTCCAACTCACAGCAGCCCTATTTCCAACAGGATGGAACACTGCTGGGTCGTGCACCGTCCTCACAAACCTTGCCATACCTGAGCCTATCATTGCAGCCACTATGTCAATCTGTCTTATTGAGGGTCTTTCCCTTTTTTTCTGACTCTCCACTTTACCACGCATGGTATTTTCCTCCAGGGAATGGTCCCTTCTGACAGCATGACCAAAGTAGGTCAAAGTCTGGCCATTCTTGCTTCCAAAGAGCATTCCAGCTGCACTTCCTCCAGGACAGATTTGTTCATTCTTCTGTCAGTCTATGGTATTTTCAGTATTTGCCCACGCTACAACTCCAAACCATCAATTCTTCGGTCTAACTTATTCATTGTCCAGCTTTTATGCATATGAGACCATTGAAAATACCATGGCTTGGATTAAGTGCACCTTAGTCTTCAAAGTGACATCTTTGCTCTTCAAAAGAGGTCTTTTGCAGCAGATTTGCCCAGTGTATGATGTTGTCTTGATTGCTACTTTCATTGGTGTTGATTGTGGATCCAAGTTATATGAAATCTTTGACAACTTCAATCTTTTCTCCAATTATCATGATGCTGCTTATTGGTCCAGTTGTCAGGATTTTTGTTTTCTTTATATATATATATTTTTATTATTATTGTGATTTGAGTGAAAATTTAGTTTCATTTTCCACACAGCTGTTCATACATCTTGTTTTATGACATTGACTGCAGTTCCCCACAATGTAACAGCTCTCTTCCCACTTCCTCCCTGTAGTTACCTCTTCCCTGTGTCCTTTTGTATGGAGTCCTGCTCCTGAACTATCTCCCTGTGCAAACACTGCCCTTCTGTTCTCCCATGATTGCTCATTCTAAGGAGTGTATCACCTGATGTAATGTTAATCCTACATGCCTGTCTATTGTTTGGCTGGCAACCACAGGAATGAGTTCAATTCCAGACCTGAAGGATAATTAGGAGCCATAGTCTCGGGTGTCTCCCCAGGCTCTATCAGACCAGTAAACCTGTTTTTTTTTTTTTTGGTTTTTTTTTTAGTTTTGTTCTACGTTGTTCTCCTACGCTATCCAGGTTCTCCTGCACTGATCCGTTTCCGAGTTGTTGACAGTGGTAGCCGGGCACCATCTAGTTCTTCTGGTCTCATAGTCATATAGGTTGAGGATCACATGGTCTGCTAGTCCCTTGGACTAATTGTTCTTATGTGTCTTTGGTTTTCTTCATTCTTCTTTGCTCTGGAGGGGGAGAGATCCATTGTTGCATCTATATGGCCACTTACAAGCTTTTAAGACTCCAGTCACTCCTCACCAAAGTAGGATGTAGAGCATTGTTTTTGTGTAGTGTGTTATGCCAGTTGAGCTTGATGTCCTCTGCAACCATGGTCCCGAGCCCACAGGTCCAACTATGTGCTCCCTTATGGTGGTTGGCTATGGCCAAGAAGTTATTAAAACTTTGCCCCTTGTTAGCTCTATTATATATTTGGACATTCTTACAGCACATACAAATTTGTATTCAGAAATGTCATCTGCCAATCTTATATATAGGAGCTCTGGTGGCATAGTGCTTGAGACATTTGACTGTTAACCAGAAGGCTGGTGGTTCAAACCCACCAGCCACTCCTTGGAAGGAAGGTTGGGCAATCTATTTTCATAATGATACCACCATGGAGGGGTTGCTATATGAGTCGGATCTGACTGGATGGCAGTGAGTTTAGTTTATTTTTTAATCTTATATACAGTCATGAGTATATTCCCTTTTGCCTAGACAGACCTGATCATTCAGCCTGTCTACCCATCTATTTGTATACAGATTAATGTTTGTTATCACTGACAGTGCAGTACTGTACATGTAAAAGGGTTTGTCTTTGTTGTCTGTACTCTTGTGTACCTCTCTGTGTCTTCCTCTTCCTCAGGGCCACTGTGCTGATCACTCGCTTTTAGTACATTTCCCTTCCCTTCACCCAAATCAATACTTGTCTCTACTTATCTAGCAGTGTTCTCTCCTCTGCCCTCCCATCCCTGGTAACCAAAAGAGAAAGTTTCCTTCCATATGTAAACTTTTCCTTTTTTTTTTTTATCAGCCACTCCTCAGAAAGGAAGACTGGGCAATCTACTTCCGTATACAGCCTCAGAAACCCAAGGAGGGGTTGCTATGAGTCGGAACTGACTCTGAGGGCAATGAGTTTGTTTTTTTCATTTTGACTTTTTACAATAGTAAACTAATACAATATTTATCCTTTTGCAATAGACTTATTCCACTCAGCATAATATCCTCCAAGTTCATCCACATTA